AAGTTGTGAAGCGGTGCAGATGCTACTGCTGTGCAGAACAGGCCCTGTGAAGCACCTTCTCATTGGCATCGAGTTCTTTTGACACATAACTGCCCCACAGGGCAAAGGAGTGTTGCTCATTGCATTTCCCAGATTGTACATCTGTACAGGAGTATACAATCTCCTCTTGAGAAGAATCAGGTGGGTTTGAACCAGTGACCTTTCAGTTATGAGCTCACCACTTAGCCTACTATTTTTCCAGGACTCCGTTATACTTGCACAGGGCTCAGTGAATAGCCAGGGTTGGGATGGATGTTGGGAATTAACCAACATTATCTTTATACTATATTATGCAAGGAAATGCTTTTATTGTGAGCGATAATTAAGTGAAAATGCATACTTCCTTGATGACGCTTACCTTAGAAAGTAGAGGACTGGTAGCACGTGGGATCCAGAGACTTACTTGAGCCAGGGCTATTTGTATGAGCAAGTTCTGGCATTCTGTGTTTGCAATAAATTAAATAAAAAGCATGGCACGGGTTGGGAGAGGGGGAACCGGACCACGATTCATTTCTCAGTTTTTCTCATAGTTCAGGATATTTGCAATGGAGAGATCCACAAAAATTTAAGAGCAGGATAAAGAGCCTAGACTGAAAGAACTTAACAAAGGCAGCAAATTCTAAATAAGCCTTGCTTCATCAGACAAAAACATACTATTACTTCTTATTTCCTCCTTCCCAGACCTGCCCACTGAGCTAAATTGATAGCCTGTAGTCTAGTGAACACCTGTTATTTGGGTTATAAAAGGAAAAGTTATCATTACTTTTAACTCCTTAAATGCATGTGTTGTCCATTTTTATTTCTAAATGTTATGCATTGCTGGAAGCTGAATAAATAAAATCAGTTCTAGAGAAGCAAGTTTCATTTTAGAACAAGGCATTCATTAAGGCTCAACCACAAATAATTCATTGGATTGAGCCTCCAATTTTTTTTCAAGTGTCTGTCATGTAAAGAAATATTGCTGGATTGGATATTATCAAACTTGGTCTTCAGTTTTAGTCCTGCAACCTGTAGGCTATGTGCCACATTTCTAATATCCTGAATTTAAAATGTTTTAAATCTTTAAGTGGAAATCACTAGCAAAATAGGAGAGGACTGAAAGACCCCAGAAACCTACTCTCATAATACTAGGAGGTTTATAGTACTTGGTCACTGAAATTGGTTTTGAATTTTATGATTATAATAACTTGTCATTAACTTATTAACACCTTGGTCTACTAGACTCATTAATCATAGCAATGGCTAGGCCACACTTACTGCCAGTGAGCTGATTCTGACTCATCACCACCCTATAGGACAGGCTAGAAGTGCCCTGTTGGCTTTCTTTAACACTTTCTGGGACTAGAAAGCCCTGCCTTTCTCCTAGTGATGAACTTACATCCTACATTGCTCTTTTCTTGCTGGTTACCATCAAGTAGATTCGTCTCATGGAGATTCCAGTTATGCAGAGTAGACATGTCCTTTAGGATTTGTTTGTTTGTTTGCTTATATTTTGTGTGTGAAGTAGATAAAGAATTATCCTGTTTCTTTCCTGTGTTCTGTTTCCTTTCCTCCTTCATTCCTAGCCTTGCCCTTGAGGAAATGCTGCCCTTTTTGTAGGGTTTCATATCCTACTCAGCCATGTATTATTTATAGTTATGTTAGTATGATAATACATACAAATGTAAACCTAATGTAATGTAATCAGCTTTGCGATTTCCTGGCTGGAAGACCTTAAGCTAACTCTTCAACTTCTCTAAGTCATGCTGTATTTCTTTCTGAAATAGTTTAGGATGATGATATCTAGATACCCTTAGGCTTTATGTTATATTGTTTCCCTTGTAGTATTACTTTGAATTAATGCTTATTAAAGATTTTACTGTATCTTAAAAGGTGGTAGAGGTTAACCTGATTCTTGTCTCTCAAGAGACCAATGATTTGATTTTATTTATCACATTTTTTGAGTGTCAGTAAATGAAGACAATGTATTTTAGATGTGATGAGAAAAGTAGATGTATTTATATAGAGAGATATAGATAGCATTTAATACAGATATTTGTTTTCTTAAAGTTCTGATGGCCGGAAGTCAAAATGAGAACACTATCGCAATCTTTGGCTTCATCATTATTATTATTTTTAATTTATAGAGCTTTCTATTTTCATTCAAATGAATACCATGTATGTGTGTGTGCTTCTATGTGTGAGTGTTCTCCTTTTACAGGATAGCCCTCAGAGTAGTTAACCTGACTCCTGCATGATTTAATTAACATGAGACAAGGAAACTTCTTTCCAAACAGGATAACAAATACAGACACAGGGGCTAGAATTTCAGCATACAAGTTTGGGATGCAAAATTCAGTCCGTAACAGCGAGGTTGTGAGATAGTTAAACCATAATCTGCAGGATAGGGCCAATTCATGTTATCTGCTCTTTGAATAAGTGTATGGTACAGTCAGTGCCACTGACGGTCTCTTCTCACAATGACCCTGTGGGACAGGGTAGAACTGCTGTGTGGTTTTCTGAGACTAACTCTTCCACGGGAGTAGGAAGTCTCGTATCTTTTTCCAAAGAGGGAGTGGTGGATTCAAATGTTGGGTGGGAGATGAGGCTTTCTACTCGCATGAAGAGTGCTGGGTGTATGATGGTAGAAGAAGACGGGCCCTCCTTTGAGAAAACGTTTGAAGAGAAGTGGTCCTGCAAGAGGAATATCAATACTGGGGAGAGATGAACTGATTAGTGAGAGGGAAATATTTAGGGTTTTCAAAAATCTATTCATAAGAAAAAAGGGAGTATATAAAGGAATGGCATTAAAAATGAGTGTGTGCACTCATGCAAGAATGTTCATAAGGTTGAGCGACATTTTGTGTAAGATGGAGAAATAGACACAGTACATACATGGATTACTGGTTTATTAGGGGAATGGGAGGGGCACGGGGAGGTAATTATGAGTACAAGAAGGAAGAAAGAACACAAGAGGAAGAACTGATTTCAGTGATGACTATTCAACTCTTTTAAATATGGCTGAATGATGGAAATATATGATATACGAATGGTATGCCAGTAAAACTATTTAAAAAAAGATTGAGAAAAAGAAGCAGCAGAGGGAAGGGGAAAGATGGCTGAGAGAGCAATTCAAGGACATTCTCACGGAAGGGTGAGAAATGGGGGTGTCTAAGTGATTAAGAAATGGTGACTCATCCTCTACCATCTAATCAAAAAATGTATCAAAATAATGATATGCTAATTGAAAATCCCTTGACATTGAGTTAATTGTAACTCCTAGGGGCACGCTTTTCCATTTATATGCTGAGCAAATAATCCAAAACCTGGACTATGGGAAGAATAATGTGACATCATAATTGGGCAAACTCAATAACAACCTCCAATATACAGGTTCTATAACCTTCCTGATGTCAGGGTGGTTACCTGTTGGGCTGCTAACCCCAAGGTGAGCAGTTTGAAACTACCAGCCACTTTGAAGGAGAAAGACGAGGCTTTCTAATCCATAAAGAGTTACAGACTCAGACATCCATGAGGCAGTTCTACACCATCCTACAGGATTGCTATGAATGCTACACTACCACTATCCACACAAAGGCCGTGAGGATGGTTTCTGACATTTAATGACAGTGCAGAGGACTTGAAGGTCAGGGAGAGACTTCATGATGGATCACATATCTACATTAAACAAACAAACAGACAGACAAAACCTTCAAAGCTGGACCAATAATACATCATCAGCATAATCAGGAAACCATTGAAGTTGTTAAACATTTCATTTTACTTGGATCCAAAATAAACCCCTCAGAAACAGCAGTCAACAAATCAGTCAGCACTGTATGGGTCAAATCCGCCGCAGGAGGCTGCTTTAATGTGTTAAAAAGCAGAGGTCACCTTGACAACTGAGATATGCCGCACTCATTTTTAATTGATTCATTTTAATTGCTTCATGTGCATATGAAAACTGGACAATAAATTAGAAAGTGAAAAGGAATATGGATGTATGTGGATTGCTGTGTTAGGGGGGAATACTGAAAGTCGCAGGGATTTCCAAAGCAAACAAATCTGTGTTGGAGGAAGTATAATCAGAATGCTCCCATTCTGGACAATTTTTATATGTTCTTTTTTCCTTTCGTACTATAGAAGGGTTTTCTTTCCTATTATTACATATGGAAGGTCTTTACATATCCTGCATATTTATCCTTTGGCGATCATTTCCTTGAGAAATAGTACAAATAAAACATTGTGTTTTCAGCTTACTTTTGGTTTTCTTAACAACATAAGGAAGCTAGTAATTTTATCAGAGTTGAAATTTTCAGTCATTTTCTTTATCGTTTATCTTTGTTGGTCTTGTGTAAAATATTATGATGTCATAAATATATTTTCAAATGGTTCATTTTGAAAGATGACATGAGTGCTTTTAGCATTTAAATTCTGATAATTACTTATTTAAAAGGATAAATATTTTAACACATAAAACAAAATAGAACTGTGCAAAAAGTACAAATTTTTCTTTGGTTTTAAGTTATTCATCAATATTGTAATTCTGTGGTAGACCATGCTACACATTTGGAAGACTGGCATGCATAGTATTGGTGCAAGAAGATTCTACTCTGCATGTTTAGTATCAAGCCTAAGAGAAATTTACAGTCTCTCTCAGGAAATGGACAGATTGGGGTTCATTTGTGAACCCCTTGCCATGGGCCTGGCCTTCCTGTTAATTGAAGCATACTGGGGATAGTTGTAATTTTACGGAAAATTGAGCAAATTGCAGTGACAACACTACATCCTTTAAAAGATTCCTGTATTTGCATACATCCTTTCCTCATTGAATGGCAAAGGAAAATATTGGGTATCTGCCTAGACATTTCCCCCTAATTAAGCAGCAAGAGTAACTTCTCACCAGTATTGATTGTTAAGATGCTTTAGATGTGTGGAAAAGTGAAGAACTTGCTTTTTTAAAGATCGGTTTCTGTTTGCAGAGACGGAATGGAGAAGATACCCCAGTAGCCCAGACTAAGAACATCAATCACAGAAGGTTTGCTGCTTCCTTTAGATTGCAAGAAGTGACAAAAACAGACCAGGATTTGTACCGCTGTGTAACTCAGTCAGAACGAGGTTCTGGTGTGTCCAATTTTGCTCAACTTATTGTGAGAGGTAAAGTAAAACTGTTTTCACTTTATGAAATCACATGGCTGTATAAAAATGAAAGCAACTTTATAAATATTTGATACATTTTTATCTGCTGACGTCTTTATTTGAAGTCACTATAAAAACTGTAGCACTGCAAATTTCTTATGACATATTAAGGTAAAATTAAGAAGTGCGTGTCAGTCCACTTTTTACAAAGTTCTCATCTGGATGAACATAAAATGCCATAATCTCCTTCTTCCTGGAACATTAATTGATTTTTCCCTGTTGAAAAGGGCTGTGCAGATATTACCCTGAGTCCTCAAAGCATTATTTCTATATGGACAAAATAAAGGCTCCTGTATCCATGTGGACCTATGTGTTTTGACATTTTTAAAGCCAAATGTGACGTGTGTTTTATAAATTCTGCTCCTTAATCTTATTACATGGGAATTGTTAAGAAATTCTCATCGGAAATTTAGACACTAAGGTAGCTTCAGATATTGGGAAGGAATATGAAAGATCTGTCTTGATCTGCAGGGTGTAGTCCTAGGTAGGTACCAAACCCACAACCCTCTGCCATCCACTCAATTATGGCTCATAGTGACCCTATAGGACAGGGTAGAACTCTCCCTGTGGTTCTCTGATACTGCAACTCTTTATAGAAGTAGAAAGCCTCATTTTTCTCCCTTGGAATGCCTGGTGGTTTTGAACTGCTGACTTTGGGTGAGCACCCCAACATGTAAGCACTACACTACCAAGGATTCTAAGTTATATACAGAGAAGAAAAATATACAAAAGACAGGAATTGATATTTTTAATCAAGGAAGACCTCTTACATAAGGTTGTAATTGAATCAATATCTTCCAAAATGGAAGATGCCAGTCATGTGAAATGATACAGGAAAAGCAGCTCAGAAACAGACCTTGACGAGTCATCCCACAAATGACGAAATTTTAAATTCTGTAAATTGTTTTTAAAAACATCATTACTTTGGGGGCTTTTACAGCTCTTTTAACAATCCGTACATCAGTTGTTTCAAGCATATATGTACATATATTGCCATCGTTAGTTTCTAAACATTTACATTCTATGGTATCAGTTCCTCTTTTTACCCCCTACCCCTGGTGACCCCTTGATAGATTATAAATTATTATTAATTTTGTAAATGTTTCTTAAAAGAATGTTTTGCACACCCTAACCAAAAACCATCTCAATGGAACTGAGTTTGGTGAGAGGTTTCTGGGAAGGCCCTTCTGAGTTAACCTTGGCTAAGACCGGGTCTGGAGGTTGGACAACAGTTGCTCGGGTGAGTGTTAGGAGTACAGGAATGCCAGCGTAGAAGAAGCATTAGCAGGCAGACAGCACATGATGTGCCAGGGCCTAGAGGCTTGAAAGAGAATATTAGCTACATCCATATTCAAGTTAATATATTTTATAATACTTGACATACAATGTCTTTTACATACGTTATTTCATCTTAAGATTTACTTGATTTTAATACTTTAACCTTTAATACTTTTACAGAGAAGGAAATTGAAATTCAGACTATTTGATGATTTGCCCAGAGCCACAAAAGTGTAATAACTGTCTGAGCCAGAATTTAACCCCATGTTTCTTGACTTGTAGAGTGTGGCTGGTTCTTTTATACCAGTTTCTCACATTGTTAAACAAAACTATTAGCCTCTGTATGTTTTTGTTTTTGCAGAGAGGATACATCTATTTAAAGGGTATTTGTATAAATATTCTGGCTCCATTTAAGTCAGTGGTTCTCACCCTTCCTAATGCCATGACCCATTAATACAGTTCCTCATGTTGTGGTGACCCCCCAACCATAAAATTACCTTCGTTGCTACTTCATAACTGTAATTTCAAATATGTGATATGCAGGATGTATTTTCATTGTTGCAAACTGAATATAAATAAAACAGTGATTAATCACAAAACAATATTTGGTCTTGAAGCATGGTGCAGCATGGGTAACAGTCTTCACACTGGGTACTCGTATGTGGGCATATCTGCATGTGAGTGAACTGCCTGGAGACAGCTGGAGGAGCGGTGTCTTAGGTGACCCCTGTGAAAGGGTCGTTCGACTCCCCGAAGAGGCTGCGACCCACAAATTGAGATTTAAGTTCTTTTCCTATCTCCAGAGTTGGCTTACACAAATTCATGAAGTTATTGCCCAATATGTTAGAATCACTAGAAAAATAGGATAGTATTTGTTCAAGTGTTTAATAGAGACAAGTATCACAGGTACATACATCCGTGAATATTTATTTTTGCTGAGCTTCATTCCAGCACCTCTCTCACCCACATGTGTTTTCAAAACCTGAAGGTGTCCTAGGGTTACCTTCAGAATAGTGATTAGTATGCTAGGATTTCAGAAGAAGGGGGAGCTTTGTCCTCAGGCTCACTGTATCTTAAGACATTGTATGTGTATCCCCGTAGGTGGCCAGTGTACTTGTAGCGAGTCAGGATTTCATCCAAGTATATATATATATATATATATATATATATATATATACATACACACACACATATGTATATATGATAGAAAACCCAAACTCATTGTCTCTTGTCCTTTGTGACTAATAGTGATCCTCTAGAACAGGGTAGAACTGTCCCTTGCAAAACTGTATATCTTTACAGGAGTCGAAAGCCTAATTTTTCACCCAAGAGCAGCTGGTGGGTTTGAACTGCTGACAGTGGGGTTGGCAGGCCAATGTGTAACCACTGTGCCGCCAGGGCTCCACATATATACTTTAAAAGAAAATTTATTTTTCTCAGTAGGAAATTCCCCTTGTTTATCCTATTCCACAAATAGATTTAATTATTTTATGAAAACCTGGGTTTTGTTTCCATAAGACATCAGCATTGTCACTGTTCTGAGTGTGTTATTTATGGAATAAATAATTATTCCAGCAAGATCTCTATAGAGAGAATTCTTGACTTTCTTAGGAAGTTTTAGCGTTTTCTAAAGTCAGTACTGACATGTTGTATATATCCTATTTTAGATTTATATTGTAAATATAGATGTAGAAGATGATGGTGTGCTAAATGTGTTATTCAGGATCTGCTCTCATTTTCAAGATATATTTTGGTAGGTTTGGCAGTTTTATATTTTCTTTTCAACACATTTTTACGTTGTTATATATCTCATAGTTATAGGTGATACTTTGTTGCTATGTTATTTGAAAACCAATACAGAGGAATACATTTTTTCATTCCTCTAGCCAACCCACAAATAAATATTCTTTTTTTTTTTTTTTTAAATACATATTTTTAACCAGAAACATACCCTCGAGGGCAGCTGTCCCGGTGCTGAAACAATGCAGCGAATTAGCTATGGTGACAGGTTCTATCTCTCATTGGCACTTTTGAAGTTGACATCCTGTTACATAGATGCGAAAGATGGTAATTTTAAAGGAAATTTTGGGGCCAGTGATATGAATAGTCTTTAATAAGGGCTGGCATGGTATTGCCTGCCGTCGTAGATGACCCTAGGGGAGGGGTTTATTAGTGCATTTTCTTCCAAACTGAAAGTGACAGGGCATGCTTAAGGCTTTTTGTTGCTGCTTGATACAAATGAAAATTTCTCGGCAGCATTCTCATGCTGAAGAGTATTGATCTATTTGTTCCCTCAGCCAGAGGAAGAAAATAGAAAGGAAAAGAAATAAATAATTAAAGCAAGAAAGTATGGGGAGACACAATTTACTTTGTCATGACTTTAGCTTTGCTTCCAGATCATTCTGAGTAATGACCATGTCTCCAGCGTGTGGAAGCCAATCTTTATTGACGAAAAATATTTTACAGAGATGAGATGAACAACAGGCATTTTTGCTGCATGTTTCTAAAAAATTGAGGTGTAAAAAATCTGAAATACATTCTGAAATTGTGTTTACAAGCTTCCAACAGAAAATACCAACCATGTAGTCTGAGCTGTGTAAAGATGGTTTGATCAATTCTTTCTTTACGTGCAGTCTTCTCCGGATCCCTTCCACCTGTTGATGGAAAGGTTGTGTAGTGGAGTCACATGTTGGGCTGCTGTCTGCAGGGCTTTCTGGTCCCATAAATCTTTAGAGTCTCAGAAAGTCAGCATGCAGGCATGCAGTATTTCTACAGTTATGGGAGGTACTGCCCTCTCTTTCACCAAGTTGGCAGGATCAGGAAAGGATTTCATTAGATTGAGATCCTTTAAACACAGAGAGAGGTCAGCTTAGAATAGAACTCAGATACAGGTGCAGCTCTACTCTGTCTTATATGGTTGCTATCAGTCATAATTGTTACTTCTCTGACCCAAACTGCCTACACTAAATGTCTTTAAAACGGCCTTTGCCACAAGGGCACTCGCTTTCTCTCCTTAGTTGTCATGAGTTTTACATCTATTATTTTTATCTCTGAATCCCCGATGACATTTTCAGTTCATTACTGTGGTTGTGCAGTGTGAAAGCACTCATGTTTTGTTTGTCATTTCTTGTTCACCTTTTAAATTTTAATGTTGACCATTAGACGTTATCAAAAGCCCCTGGATATAGAAAACAGATCATATCTATTTCTATTCTTGATGAATTACAGTGGCTTCTAGCTGAACATGAGGGCAATGGTCAATCCAGTTACTCAGCTAGATAAGTACTTATAGTACTACTTTAGAGTCATACTCAGTACTTGGAGAAGGTAGTTCTGTCTATAAAACACATTTCGGTGTTCAGAATTAAATACTAATAATGCGGTTTTCCTTTTAAGACAACACGAAATATCTTAAGAACAAGGGTGTTTATCGGCTTTCCTAATTAGATAATGAAGAGATACACTTCAGGGTTCATGTAATCGTGAAGGACCCAAGTTTTGTTCAGCTCTTCACGCTAAAGTTCACAGAGCTGAGTTCTATTCTAAGTGAGGCCTTCTCTGTGTTTAAAGGCTAACAATCTAATGACATCCTTTCTTGGTCCTGCCCAGTTAGTGAAAGGAAGGGCACCACCTCCCACAGCTATAAAAAGAATAAGATAGTTCCTACTGCAGAAACAGAA